GTAGAGGGGTGGTCTTTAGAGACGTGCGGCTAAATCCAAATGATTCTAGTTCTAGGTATAGTGTTAGTTCTACATAGTAACAGTGCTAGTGTAAAACTAAAACTAACACTAGAACTAGAATCATTCGGGTTTAGCCGTCTTAAGAGACATACGGCTAAATCCAAATGATTCTAGGTCTAATGTTAGTTCTAGTGCCAGTGTAAGTGTAGAACTAGAACTAACACTATACCTAGAACTAGAATCATTCGGATTTAGCCGTTCTACATAGTAACAGTGCTATTGTAAAACTAGAACTAACACTAGACCTAGAATCATTTGTGTTTGGCTGCACGTCTTTAAAGACGGTTTTAATTGTTGTTCAGCGCTAGATTGTTGTATAGTTTTATGGAAATAGTTGAAAGGTTAAATATACATATTAGAAAATTACGTATTGTAATAATATAACCAATCATGAGCATTATTTTGAGGATTTAAAGACTTATCGTATTGAACGTAAGAAAATGTTATGAGTTATGATTGTTATGAATGAGAATAATTATAAATTTATTTTTATAATATAAAATACTATTTACTAATTAATTTAGTTATGTATTATTGATCGTTGATGTTTTCTACTGTATATAATCCATGTAAAGTCGATACGAAGTAAGTTTAAAGACCCCTTGACAGATACATAGATAACCTCAATTTGATTTTTTCTCAATTTCTTATTCAAATCATTATTTATGCAGTTAAAGTTATTGAAAATGATAATCTTAGCATAGTAAGAATGAAAAACAGTCATCCTTTGTGTGAATTAATGAAATTTTAGATGAAAATTCAAAATCTCAAGATTTGAGTATTTTGGGAATTTTGCCGTTGAATACAGAAGAAAATAATTAGATATCTGAAAAGCAATTTAAAGAAGCATTAAAACTACAAGATTTCATAAATAAATATAGTTATTAAAAAAAAATTAAATAACATTTAAACAAATTAAATTAGTGACATTTCAAATGTTAAAGTTGGTAATATCAGAAAATTTTAGAAACGAATTTCAAGTTAATGGAATTGACCAATCAGGGAACACTATTTTTCAATTTCAACATTAAACAAAGGAAAATTAAAAATTTTAGTGACATTTTGAACTTGAGAGAAAACACACGCAAATTTTGTCTCGTCGAACATTATAAGCAACGTTTTAGGTTATGTAAAAAGATAAATGTTGACATAACCTCAAAAAAAGTAATTTGAACAATTTCGCCGATTCAAAGAAAAGAAATAATAATCATAATGAAGAAACATCAATTTGGTTCCCATTCCTGACAATCCTAGAACCCTTACCGTGGCCTTATTTATCATATAACCAACAGACTAAGCTAAGTATTGTTATTTTCTTTAGATTTATTCATGTTAATGATGTTAATGAATTGTTTAGTGAACAATTCTCTTACATTCAATACGAAAGATAATTCTGAGATACTACTCATAATAATTCATTTCATAACTCCTTATTAATTTATTTATTTTTGCTTTTTGCTAAAGTTTTACGGAGGTGTTTCAGCACGTATTAACCTAATTTATATCACTTTGTCATAATCACATTTAATCATTTGTCATCACATTTATAAAAAGTCATAAAAATGAAATTACAGACTATTTTACGTATTAAAATGTTTCTACCTACTCTTAATAAGTTAATGCGACCTACATGGCGGGACTGGGTTTATAAACGATACTGGGGTGATAAATATAAATTTAAAGAGCACAGCATTTTCGAAGAGATCGATGCGCCGGTATTTAAATCGCCAGGTCAGAAAAAGGTTAAGGCATCTATGAACATCGTTTCAGAAATTTCTAAATTACACCTGTATAAAATAGTGGCTTACGGATCTCCAGTGAAGTATGTATTGGAAGATTTATTACCAAATTTAACGAAATTGTGGGTGACAAAGTCTGCGTATCATATAAAAGGTGAAACCGATTTAGTTCACTCAGTTAACGAGGAATCTAAGGAGCCGCAAGAAACATTTATTTTTAGGGATGGTGTTGTCGTGTTTTGGAACTTTATTAATAAAGATATCAAAGATGTGATGGATGTATTGTCTAAGCATCAAATTTTTGGGTATGATATTGATAATGATATGCAAGCCTCCGATATCCATTATTATAAGGTTACCAATAAAACCCGGTAAAGATTAGGTTTCTATATGAATTAAATAACCGAATGAAATCCTTGTTAGATGCTGTTCAGTTGGTGCGGATGGCGTTATTTCAATTCCACGTGATAATAATTTTCACGTAAAGTATGCAACATCTTGTATGCTTGCAACATCAGTTAGCTTAACGATATGGCAAAAGCTTATACAAATTTACTTGAGTAATATTCTAGAGCGAGTCGCCGACGACATTAATTTGGGTTACAGGATATCAGCGTCAGAGAGGGACGTCGAACAACTGCAAGGCAGCTTGTCGACTGTTATCTTCTTTATGGAAATTAACGATCAAGTTTATAAACCTGTAACTGAAGATAAAGAATCAAACGTAAACGAATTTCATAAAGAACTTTGGATACTAAACAGTATACCAAGAAGAATAAAAAACGTTGAAAAACATTTATCTCATTGTAAAGAGATTTGCAATTTGCTTCATGTTTTGTACTCGTATAAAAAGCACACAAATTCGTTTATAATATATTACCTGATAACGGTTTCTATATTAATTTTGTCCATATTGAAATATTTCAATGGTATTCAAGACACAAAGGCAACTAGGTTGATGGAAGAGTTAGCAAAAGAAAGTATGCAAGCATTATAAGTAAAAATAAATTTGTAATTATTATCTTGTCAATTATTAAATCAATCTAGATCTTCAATTAGATTAAGATTAAATTCATTTGTAGCAAGTCAACTCTGTGCAGAATCAAGACTGAATAAAGTCTTCATAAAGCCTGCATTGAGACAACTTGGTATAAAGTTTTCATCATCTCTACATCAAGGTTCACTTCGTTTGTAGCAAGTTTGTGCATTGAGTGCAACATATTTTTTTTGTATAATAGCTATTTGAGCTCTGACAGTTTCTGCGACTAAATAGTGGCCAGGCCCAAGGACAGTGGAATCTAATGGACCTTCTTCACTATGGCTTATCATGGACCACTGCGAGCCATTGTGTAGAGGGGTGATGGCGTGAAGTGGTCATAAGTAGCGGATAATGGTGATGATAATGGCAAAGGATGGTTTTGGGAGCGGTGGCATTGCTTAACCATTTCGGTCGTCAACAAAACCTGTTGCTTACTGTGGTCCATTAGGTAGGCCATCTAGACTATACCACTGTGTGGAAGCAAACATGCTAGCCATCATCAATGGTGGCCATCATGGCGACCATTCTAGTGGTCTATCATGAGCCATAGTGAAGAGGGGCCATAACAGGACTGCTACATCCATTGTTGTGACAACGTGTCACACCATTTACCACACCCAGTCAGCTGTTATTGTTACTATGCGTTTGCTGTTATTTTTAGAGGTTAAATCGTATATTGTACACGTATTCATATTATTTTTGAAGTTTTATTTTTTTAGACGTATTAATGTCTATCATATAACCTCTAAAAACACACAGCAAACGCATAGAACTCATTGACAGTTAATTGGGCGTGACAAATAGTGTGACGTAGAGTGCGGGCAACCAACCTGTAGTGGACCAAGGACAGTAGAATCTAACAGGACTGCTACATCCATTGTATTTTTGTAGTCCGCTACGGATTGGTTGCCCGCACGCTACGTCACACTATTTGCCACGCCTGGTAGCTGTATGTGTTTTTAGAGGTTATATGATAGACATTAATACGTCTAAAAACATAAAACTTCAAAAATAATATGAATACGTCTAGGATATAACCTCTAAAAATACACAGCAAACGCATAAACCATAACAACAGCTGGGCGTGGAAAGTGGTGTGACGTATTTGCGGGCAGGTTGTCACAACAATAGATGTAGCAGTCCTGTTAGATTCTACTGTCCTTGGTAGTGGACTACAAAACAACAATGGATGTAGCAGTCCTCTTAGATTCTACTGTCCTTGGGTCAAGCCGATGTTACCTCCTTTGTAGTTTTGCAGTGGAGTACGTTGGATCCATGTTTTGGATCTACCAAGATGTTAAAATAGAATTTTGAGAACACAGTTATTTTTTATTGAAATTTTATACCAATACAAATCACAAATTTCTTGTGCATGTAATTGCAACTGTTCTTAAAATATCTACAATAAACGTATTTGTTTTTAATCGATTAATGATTAAATCCTTAATCTTCTATACAGGTTTCCCAAAACTCCCGAGACGGAGCTATAAGTTTTGAACGAGTGAAGAAAAATATTTGAAAATTGAGAATTCTTAGATAGTTTAGAACGTCCGTGCAATGTGGAGTTTTTTAGGGGATGACCACCCCTAGCAACCCCTATCGAGTTTTACCTTATTTTAAAGGTCGCAAATGGAAAAAGACACACCAGACAAGAGTACCATCTTCGTGGAACCACTTATTGTCAATACCATTAGGGCATATGGCACGTACACTTGGAACTACTTGATCTAACAGTTGCAGATATCTGTCTCCGTCCAAATTTTCATTAATAAAAAATGGACCAATTACATTCTCTGCCATAATACCAGCCCATACATTAATTTTCTATGATCTCTGAGTATGATCTTCTCTTATTAAACGTGGATTTTCGTCACTCCAATCACTAGGGAACCACCACTATCACTAGGGATATGCTTCTGATGGTTCAAAATTCCATTTATGAGCGTTTGGGTCATTGCGAGACCGAAGAAGGTCGACAATTTGAACATTTGTTATAAAAATCGTAATGCAGCAAAAAAACATGAAAAATTTTTATTTTCCATTTGGTAGTCAACCCCTCATAATTCTTGAAAGAATTAATTTTTTTAATTTTTTCATTACCTTTAAAATAAGTAGTAAATATATTTATCTACAACTATTGAATTATTTATTCGTTATACATTTGATTTTTGACGGGTAATGACACCCATTACTCATGACTGACAAAGTGTTGAATAATGAAGCCATTATTCCACAGTTCTGACACGGCCTATTGAGGTTATGTCTGAAATGTCTATCAAGTTTTTTTTTTGCCTTTTTTTGATTTTTTTTTCAAAATTAAATAGTTGTAGATAAAGTATAGTATTCAACTTCCGTATAATGGATGTTACCCACTCAGATTACAACTTCATCTTCGTGGGTAACAGCCGCCATTATACGCTTGTTGAATAATATACTATTATCTACGACTGCTTGGATAAGTCATTATTACCGCACACATTTGAGGTGATTTGAGTTACGTAATGAAGTTCATTACCGCACTGGTTTCATTACTTAACGCATTTTTAGCCTAATCAGAACAGACTTAATTTATTGAAACGAGCAACAATACAAAAGAAAAAGTGCTATCTACTTACAGAGAAACAATACTATGTATTATAAACATTAATTGTTATGTTTTTACATTTCGAAATACTTATTCCAGATGAGTAAACATGGTGTTGAAACTGACAATTCAAAATTGTCAACAATCATTTCAAAATATTTTTGTAAATGTCAAATAGACTTTTCTAAAGAAATTGATTTTTTAGTAAATTTTAGCAGTCGTAGATAAAATGCTGTATATCACACGTGGGCTAGAGCATAATTACAGTACGAGTTTGATTACACGACTCGGTCTACGACCTCATCGTGCAATTCTTCATACTCGTACAGTAATTATGTTTTTGTAATTCGCGACGGTAATGAAAGCTCTAACAGTACTCAAACGGGTGCTGTAATGAGACTCCTTACAGCATCCGATGCTGTAATGAGATTTTAGTAACATTTTATGGAACCAGTTCAAGTTGGTGACATTGGCTCATTAATTTTTCTAGTTGTCAATGTGACAATTTTTGTCTATGGCTACGGTTACAGTGTAATAATAAGTTGGCATTATTTCAAATAATATTTGGATATCATGAATAATGAGAAATTAATCCTACTGGTGTTCGACAGAAGAGTGTTGTGGGACCAAAAATCACATTAAACTACAATTTATTAAGCTAGTCACACTGTTTAATATAATGTTTTCTAATGTATTTATATAATTGAAGTGTTAAATTCCGGTCTTAAATAGTATATTGTTGTGGTATGGCGCCAATTTCACTATTAAAATATAGTTTAAAAGTTTCTCATACATCGTATGCCACGTTAGTAGACCTGTTGTTTGCACGAGCTTTGTAATTGTCCTTCCCTGTCTATAATTACGTTATGTAATTACTTTTATTATGCATTTCACTATTAAATCGACCTTATTTGGATGACACTCTATAGGTTTGTTTAATAGTCTCCATTTTGCTGTCATAATTCCAAATGAGCATTCCACTGTTCTACGACACCGTGACAGTCTGTAGTTGAATATTTCTTCTTCCCGTGAGAGATTTCGTTTAGAATAGGGTTTCATTAGATACTTTTTTAAAGGATATGCATCGTCACCTAGTAAAACGTGCGGGAGCACCACATCGGAATTGATATATGTAAACAACCATTTGTGTCAAATTGTTAATTGCAATTTTACCAACGTAAAAATGCCTAAAAAGCACGTTAAAAATAAAAAGAAAGTGCGGAAAAGTGAAAAAATGACCCAAAAATGAGTCACGAAGCTTACTTACAACGTATTTAACACAATAGCACGGTTAACACTGGTCCGAGAAAATTATTTTTTGTAATTCACGACGGTAATGAAAGCTATAACAGTACTCAAACGGGTGCTGTAATGAGACTCCTTACAGCATCCGATGCAATAATGAAATTTTAGTAACATTTTATGCAACCAGTTGGTGACATTGGGTCATTAATTTTTCTAGTTGTCAATGTGACAGTTTTTATCTGTGGATGTTTAAACACGTTCTTAGCATTGAATACAAGGTCCACAATGATGAAGATGTTGAACTTTGAGCAATTTCTCTTATTTTGGGAGGTGTACATGAAACATTTTTGTCAGGTGAATACATTTTGTGTTTTGACAGTTTCTAATTGTCAATTCAAATTTCTATTTTCAAGTGTTACGGTGTTACCAACGGTTACATACCTATTTCCCTATATTGTCAAAATTTATCTTATTTTTGCGAATTACAAAAAATAGCATAAAAAACACGTTTCATAAGACTTAAAGCTCTCATTCATTAAAAACAACTTTTCAACTTGAATTCGTGCATTTCAAACGTGTCTTTCGAAACTTGCTTTTTAATATACTATTTTGTAATTCGCACCGGTAATGAAAGCTATAACAATACTCAAACGGGTGCTGTAATGAGACTCCTTACAGCATCCGATGCTGTAATGAGATTTTAGTAACATTTTATGGAACCAGTTCAAGNTTTTTAAAGGATATGCATCGTCACGTAGTAAAACGTGCGGGGGCACCACATCGGAATTGATATATGTAAACAACCATTTGTGTCAAATTGTTAATTGTAATTTTACCAACGTAAAAATGCCTAAAAAGCACGTTAAAAATAAAAAGAAAGTGCGGAAAAGTGAATAAATGACCCAAAAATGAGTCACGAAGCTTACTTACAACGTATTTAACACAATAGTACGGTTAACACTGGTCCGAGAAAATTATTTTTTGTGATTCACAACGGTAATGAAAGCTATAACAGTACTCAAACGGGTGCTGTAATGAGACTCCTTACAGCATCCGATGCAATAATGAAATTTTAGTAACATTTTATGCAACCAGTTGGTGACATTGGGTCATTAATTTTTCTAGTTGTCAATGTGACAGTTTTTATCTGTGGATGTTTAAACACGTTCTTAGCATTGAATACAAGGTCCACAATGATGAAGACGTTGAACTCTGAGCAATTTCTCTTATTTTGGGAGGTGTACATGAAACATTTTTGTCAGGTGAATACATTTTGTGTTTTGACAGTTTCTAATTGTCAATTCAAATTTCTATTTTCAAGTGTTACGGTGTTACCAACTGCTACATACCTATTTCCCTACATTGTCAAAATTTATTGTATTTTTGAGAAAAAAAAAGGATAAAAACGCGAATTACAAAAAATAGCATAAAAAACACGTTTCATAAGACTTAAAGCACTCATTCATTAAAAAACTCGTGGCTTTGCCACTCGTTTTTCAACTTGAATTCGTGCATGTCAAACGGGTCTTACGAAACTTGTTTTATAATATACTATTCTAGCCCACTTGTAATATAAATAACTATTAATTACTATTTAAAAATGTAGTTCTAAACTATCTAAGAATGTAGTTTTTATGACTCTTTAGTGATCCCCAAATTTTCAAACTTTTTTCTTCATTCGTTCGAAACTTATAGCTTCGTAGTTCTTATAGCTCCGTAGTTATAGCTTCTGGAGTTTTGGGACACCTGTATAGTAGATACGACTTCTTCAAAATAGTTTAAGTGCACCTCTATTTTATAACTTTTAATATCCAATTCACGAAAACATAAACTTTCTTATATTCCTT